CGGCGACCACACACACACACTCTCGCCAGCGTGGACAAAGGTGTGCATTGGCTGGCCTCAAAGTGTACACACACGCGGAGCTGACCCTTGCGCCAACTAACCACCCCATTCCCGCCTCCTTTCCTCAATCTCAAGTGTTGAAAGGGGCGATCCTTCTCCCACTGTTATTGTGGCTGACGTATTTTGTCCGTCTTTTCCCTGTCCCCCCACACGCGCGCGCGCGCACACACACAAACACACACACACACACACACACACACACACACCTCTTATTCGTTTGCCGTGTCACCTGCCCTTCTATTAACCTCAGGCCAATTCCTATATTATTTCTATACATGTGTAGTAAATTTTTATTTATTTTTATTTTTATTTATTTATTTATTTTTTTTTTTTTTTTGCTCTTCTGCTTCTAATATTTCCTCTTCAGCTTGAACTCTTATAATTATAGTTATAAATATTATTTTGATCTGCAATACGCATCACGTGTAGACCCCATTACAGTTGCCGCGGTGTTTTCCAAAAGAAGAGGCGCATCAGACCGTAACAGCGCAGAGCGACCTGGCTTTACAGTCAAATGAAAGGAGCGCGGGAGTCCTTCTCCCTCCTCTAAACATTGCGGATAGGGCTTCGTTTGGGACCGCAAGTTGTGGAGACATTAATTTATGTAGTAAAATGAAATGACTACTTCGACTTTTTTTTTTAGTAAACGAAAGTGTACGTCTTGTGCGGGAGCGTAGTCTTTACTGCTCCGCATACTGAGTTTGTGGTGTCTCCTTTGTCTCATCTTAATATGTGGTTTAGAAATAAATTTCTTATGAGCTTTTGTATGGATACAGAAAGAGCTGGGTTTCGTTTTACTCTTGTACTTCTCATCCGCACGTCTGTTGTCCTTGTGTGCTTTGTTGCCTTGCATGATGTAGTCATTTCGGTCGTGCTACAAATCCCAAGCATTAACTCATAGGATGTGACAAGAGGAAAACGGGGGGACGGGAGCTCTTGGCTGCTGCCTGTTGTGCGTCGTGCGTAGTAGTTGATCAAGCTCAAGCCCCTGTCATAGAGCTGACACTGACGGCCGTTAGCCTGGGCCCATCAATCTTTTGCCCGACACAGTGCAACCCCTTGCGTGTCGTGTCTTCTTCCCCCTCGCTGTTACCGTGTTCTTGAACGGACTAAAGACGTGTAGGAAGAATAGAGGAGGATTGGGTTTTTGGGATGTATGTTCCGGCAGAAGGGAACGCCTTATGCATCCAAGCTGTGTTGTCCGGTGGAAAAGAATGAGGGGGGGGGGGGCGCAAACATATTAATTGTTTGTAGTGGTTCATTTGGTCCAGTATTGCAATATGTCCCGTTTTTTAAATTCAAAGCTTACCCTCGGGGCAGTGCCACTGACTGTAGTGTCTTTAGGCCATTCCCAAAGGGGGGACATTTCTTGTTCAAGCACAGTAGAATTGTAAATGGGCTGATTCATCATGTCACGCTCATAACTGTGCCTGATCTGCAACAGAGAACTGCTGCTTTTTCTTTCCTAATCTTTACTATTGTTATTTATTTCCCCTACTTCTTTTGTATGTTTGTCAATCTTGTGACCTGCTATTTCCGGGGTGCCTTGATAGTCGAAGCAGACCTTGTGCTGTTGAAGCTAGAGAGGTGAGCAGAGTAAGTCTGATTCCCTGTAAGGACTTCTCTGTTGACACCCACCCCTTGGTGCTCATATGACCTTATGCAGTTGCGAGCGCCGTTAAACCTTCTACTATAAAAACACTTTTTTAAAATCAAAGCCGCAGATATCTAGGTTACGCTCTGGTGGAATTCCCCGAATGATTTCTATGGGTTTCTCTTCCATGGTGAGACGCCCAGTTACCTCTGTTAACAAGACCAGGGGACCCCCGGTACCGGTCGTTAGTTCGTTACCTGTGCATTGAAGGTAAAATACATTAAAAATGACATTAAAAAATGGAAGTCATCCGATCAATGTGTACATTATAAAATTATAGAGTTCACGTCTACGCTGCTCGTGCAGCAACTGTTTTATAGTTTATTGCATATGAAAAGTAGGTCAGTCATAAAATCAATTTGTAATCTCTCCATCAGCCTTGTTTGATTTGCATCGTGTGTTCTTAGGCCACTTTAACGCTTTCGATAGACACGTCTTTTTTGGGACATAGAACATCTTGTCAGTTTATCTTGTCAATCCAGTTTATTCTCTTCTTGTCTTATCTATGTCGCCTTCCTGATTATACAGTTGTTTAGGTGCCCATTTTTTAACTCCCACAACCCAACGTGATTTTACGTTGCAGTTCTAAGGGGATGCAACCTCGTGTGCACACCACACACATTTTCACGACCTACGCACAAGTTTTTCTTTGCCTAGGGAATAGATAGATTTTCGCACTGTAAGAAGATTTTGAAGAAGAGTGGGAAAAGAGGGGGGGGGGGTGAGAATATCTCTTTTGTTGCCCTAACAGACCCGAGTCTATATGTTGTTGCATGAATTGCTTTTCTCAAAGAGATCTCAACAGCTTTTTCTGATTCTGCTTAACGGTAAGCACCGTGACTTTGAGACGGCCTTTGTTCACCGCGCCCGTGTATTTTGAGACGACCCCTGTACTCTTTTTTGGCCGTCCGTAGTCTCGGCCCCCACAGCTCCCGCTGGCTTTCAACTGCGCGCATCTCTGTCCCGGGACTCGAGGCCGCGGCTAATGGCATTTGCATGATAAACCCCTCGTGCTCGGATCTCGGATTTCTCTCTCTCTCTCTCTCTCTCCCTC